TCTCAGTTCCCCATCCTTCTCCACCCTCCCAGCGCCTGCCTTCTCCTAGCCGCATCCTGGAACTAAGTCTTTGCAAAAGTACAGGATAAATGTCACGGTGGAAAGTGCCCGGCTTGATCTTTTGCTATTTTCCCTAATTGCATAATTGCTGCACATGGTGTCTCTCCTGGCGAGTGCCGGGTCTGGCTCCTCCGCCGCCGCACCCGGGTGGCCCGCCCGGAGAAGACCTTGTGGGGTGTATTTGTGTGTGTCCTGGTGTGGGGTGTGTGTTGTATTTGTCTTTTGTGATCCCTGGCGCTTGTCACAGTTTGGAGCCGAAGCCCATTTTTCTCTGGTCTCTTCTCTGCAGCCCCCACTGGCCTGGTTTGAAACTGGATTCCCTCTGTCCTCTCCCCCTTCCCCCCCACTCCACTTCTCCCCCTCTTTTCTCCCCTCTCTCTCATAATGTTTTGATCTTTTTGCCCTTTACAATTTCTAATGAAGATAAAGCGTGGCTTCTTGTGGCTTTTTTTTCCCACGACCAACCAGAAATGTCCAATCCATCTTCCCTTAAGGAAATTAAGGCCGCTTTAGAAAGACATCATCCTGTGCTCGGTGGCTGTTTAGACCTATTTGCATGTTTTCTAAGATTCATCGTTTTGTATTGTGTATTCTTGAGAGTCTACTCAAATATTTTCATTTAAAAGTACGAAAGGAAGTGCTAAGGTTTACCCTCAAATTATCTCGCGGTTCTAAAAGATTTTACGCTCTTCTTAGTTTTTAATCCCTGATTCTTTAAAAAGTATGTTTCTAGATATGTAATAATTCAGTCTGCACTTTGTGAATCTAAATATTTGCCTTTGCTACGGCAATTTGGATGCTCCTTGTCTCTTTGGAGTTCTGTATGTGGGCTGATGCTGAAGATAGAGTGTTTTCATATAATGCTATACCCCATTCTGTTTCCCCTGCAGCACCTTTTACCCCCAAATCAGGTGTTCCACTATTATTTTCTGCATAAATATCTTTGCAGTTAAATTTAAAGCTGAATATTGCTGTGTGCATATACTATGTATTTATTTTACATTTTAGAAAAGTTTAGAAACATGAGTAGGAAGACAGCAAGATCTATATGACAGAATTAAACGCTTTCCTGTTATAAAAGCTCAAATGAACCCTTGGTTTTGCAGTTTTATACTAGTAGATACTGTTATAAGGCTTACCTGCATAGTAGGCTGGATTTATGAAATGACTATAGTTGCCTTTATGTAGTCAGTAATATTTCAAGCCAAATCATTTCATTTTTATGGAACACGTGTTTATGGAACACGTGAGTTTCGTTCACTGTATGTTGCTAATTTCCAGGACTGTAATTACAACATAGGGTACATAGCTAATACAAGCTTAGACAGTTTGTGTTGAAGAAGTAATAGAATGTAAGCCTCTTAACATAGTTTGAGGAAGGACTGCCTATTTTATGTTTAAAAATTAAGTTTTACTTTGAGTTACGAAGCAAGCATATTAATTTATATATCTCAATATCTTTGAAACTATCATTGGAGAGTAGCTCTTTGTTTATAACCCTGGGATTTAAGTTTATCTTCCCTGTAGATTAGATAATGGGATCAGATTAACTGTTTAGGAATTAATTTTAAAATGCTAATTTAGAAGATAATGTTTAAAGAATTTTAATTCAGGAATTTTTATTCATTTGTACTTTAGAGAGACAAGACATCAATTTTACCCTTATGACTAATTAAATTGATTTATAGACTACTTTTTCTTCATAAAAATTCATTGCACCTGAGTGGCACAATAATTTTTTTCTATAGTTTTTTTGTAAGCAAGCATTCAAAAAACAAACCGAGGAGAAGCTCCTCTTATTGATATTTGAAAAAGAGATGTGAAAACGTTATTTCTGAAAGTTCCTATAGTGGTTATCAGTGGCCTCAGATGGATTTATCATTTGTAGGTTAACATTTGGATGAAATAGGTGTCTTAAGTCGAAAGTGGAAATAATTCTTTTCCTTAATGTGAAACTAGAAATTACGCCTCTATTGGGGAATTTCTAATAGTATTTTTATTAGTTCTCTAGTGAGACTAATTTTTACTTTAGTCTTCCTCTGATATTCAGCAGTAGTTTATGAAATTTGGGTTTCAGATTATGGTTCAGATGACATCATTGAGCAATCTTTTTAAGTAATTATATAACTCTGGCATTCGATAGTATGTGAATGCACATAAATAAGAATATTAAGAATGTGTGGTTTTATAACGAATGTGATACACAACTGAAACTCTCGGCATAGTTTAGTAAATCATAGTTTATTAAACTGAAGCTGCAGCCTCAGTATAGAGAATATTATTTCATTGAGGTTCCCATATATTTATCATGGAACAGATTGCTCCTGGTTTAAAATGTATAAAATGATTTCTCACTCATTTCACATTTCTTAAGGTATCGCTGGCAGCATTTTGCTGTATCTGAGCACCTTTCCCTGAGGATTGTTCTCGTTTTCACTGTCATGTGTGCTGCCCTAACTGATATGCCATTATGTACATACTTAGAAGGTTTTAAACTTCTGATATATTTTAACTGAAAGAGGTAAGGTGAAAAAAAAATTAAATCCAAGAATGAGAATTTAGAGTAAAATAAAAATGAAAAAAAGCAAGAAATATGTTATGACTTTTAGAGCTAGATGTGAAACATACTGATAAAAAATTTCAGTATTCTATTAAGTGACTTTAGTGCTCATAAAAGATGTCACAGCTGTGGAGACTGGTGCTCTCCATTTACAGAATAGGTAGAAAAGTAGTCAGCTTTTCCATTAGTATGTTTCAGAGCTGTTGAGGCAGACCTGTTTTTGTGTGGCATGAGGAGCTGTTGGGGTTGAAGGGGTGCTGGTGGTGGTGTGTGTGGCGTGTCAGTGAAAGGATTCACTATTTTCTGTTGACTCTTTGCGGCTCTGTGCTTCGTGATGCCTCCATTCTTTTGCAGTGCTTTTTGGTTTGTCTTACAAAAATTTCAGTCTATTAAAGATCGGTGTTACAACATTGCTTTGGCTTGGAGCAGACTACAAGTTAAATCTTTAGTAATGATGAATTTTTATCAGTGTCAAATAGCTATCCATTTGGACTAAATTGTAGTAATTAAAAATTTTGCTTTATTTGAGGTATCTTTACCTATTCTTATTGATCATATCAGAAACAGTTTTATTTCAAGTCGTAATTTGAATAAGAATAATCAAAAGGATCCATTTCAAAAGGAGTTTGTTCAGTGTACCTCTAATTTTTAAAGGTATTTTTTTTTGTTGTTAATGGTACTTGTTAAGTATAGGTATTTGTTTTTAAAGAGGTGTCTGAGAAGGTAGCTATACAGTGCTCAAAGTGATTATTAGGTGACAAAACTGTGGTGAGCACAAGACCTTTTAGAGTCTGGGCATGGGTTTTGTTGGTTCAGTTCTGGATTTGTCAGAACACTGTAGGCTAGTCAGCTCGTAAGGGATGTATTCGTAGTCATCAAACTCAGAAATTGATTATGGTAGAATGACAGTTGAGAAGAGATACTCCTCTTCTCTTACTGGAATTGTTTGTGTCTCCTGTCTAGATTATAACAGCTACCTAAATATCAAGCTATTGAGGAAATTGAGTTGGTAATCAGAGCTGCTTGGGGAGCCTGAACTCAGAGCAAAGGGAATTTGAATGCCTTGAGGGATATTTTAGCCAGACTGTGGGGAAAAGAAAAAAAAAAATTCTTCAGTGTCTCGCCATCTCTTGTGAAATATGGTTGCTTTAGTATATAGCTGAATCAGTGCTGATGCCGTCGTATGGTTCAATTTTTATTTAGAATCATGCAGTCATGCAGGCCTCTGTGTTCTTCTGTTATCACAAAGGTTACTTAAAACAATTTACTAGTTTGGAGAATTTTAACCTTAGCCCAGCTCTGAGGATGTATTGATGGAATAGGGATTTGAAAGAATCCTCCCATTTTTCTGTTCCCACAACTATTTGTACTAACCTTCGTTTTTGTACTTAGCAAGTTGGCTAGTCCAGGTTTTTCACAGTTGTGGGACCAAAGGGTTTAGCACAGCACCTGGTAGAGAGTAGACCCTTAGTCATTTTTTTCTTATTTTTTGTAACAGCATTATTGATATGTGATTCACAGACTATAAAATTTACCGTTAAAAAATGTACAACTCTGTAGTTCTTAGAATATTTATTATTAGAATTGAGCAACATTATCATTATCTAATTTAAGAACATTTTTATCACCCCACAGGGAAGCATCCTACCCATTAGCAGTCAGTCTTCACTGCTCTCCCCTCACTCCCTGGCAACCACTTACCCATTTTATTTTATTATTATTATTATTTTGTTTTGAGACAGGGTCTCTCTCTGTCACTCAGGCTGGAATGCAGTGGTATCAATCATATTTTTATTTTTTGTAGAGATCGAGTCCTGCTATGTTGCCCAGGCTGGTCCTGCCTGGGCTTCCCAAAACATTGGGATTTACAGGCGTGAGATTTACTACTGAATTTGATGTTTATGAATTTGCCTATTCTGGACATTTTATCTAAATAGTCAGCTTGTGGTCCTTTGTGGCTGGCTTCTTTCACTTACAGAATGTTTCAAGGTTCATCCATTTTGTAGCACGTAGACACTGTATTTCATTCTTTTTTATGGCTAACAGTACATTATGTGAATATACTACTACATTTTGTTTATCCATTCATTCGTTAGTGGATATTTGAGTTGTTTCCAGTTTTGGTTATTATGAATAATGTTGCTGTGAACGTTTCATGTATAAATTTTGTATGTTTTTGTTTTACAATACATTTTCAATGGATGAAGGAAAAGTTTTAGCAAGTCCCAAAGCTGCATTGTTTTGTAAATGACCAATTTAATCCGTTTTATATTGAGATTTACTTGTTTTACTTTGAGATTCATTCTCTGTGTTCTGGAGGTAGCTTACTGTAGTCGTCCTCACAGCTGAATAAATGATTTTTGATTCTTTAATCCAGGATCTAAAATGTCCACTGAGGCACAAAGAGTTGATGACAGTCCAAGCACTAGTGGAGGAAGTTCCGATGGAGATCAACGTGAAAGTGTTCAGCAAGAACCAGAAAGAGAACAAGTTCAGCCCAAGAAAAAGGAGGGAAAAATATCCAGCAAAACCGCTGCTAAATTGTCAACTAGTGCTAAAAGGTATCTCAGTTATTATAACCTTTTTATTTTTGGTATCAGTTTATCATCTTAAGTTCTATTTTTCTCTTGCATTTAATCATTTTTTCCGTGATTGTCAGCCATGAACTTCGTGGATTTTTCTTTCCCTTTCAAGATGATCTCTTTTACATGGTTTTAGCCATAGGGAACTTCAGTATTTAAAGTCAGTTAAATGGCATGGCAGATTCATAAAATACATTTCCATAGTGTGTTTGTGTGTTTGTGTATTATTAGGGAAGCATATACAGGGCGTGCATGTAAAGTTGCAGTGGTTTCATTTATGGTTACTTGACCATAAATATTTTTTTTCTGTTCCGTAACACAGAATAGAGATTAGGAATCTTTTGAAGTGGTTATTGAGTGAGTGATAGTTTATTTTCCACTACTCCCAGTTGGTAGAGTCAGAAATGCTGACATTAGCGACAAGTGCATCTTGGTTTCATTACATTAGTCAGTGGATCCATCTTGATACAGATTTTTCTCTTTTTCTGGAGAATAGATGGATCTGGAAAGTAGGTATTTGAATGGTCTTCTTTTGGTACATCAATCTCTTAAAATGATTGGCATGTCAATGGACTTAGAGGGAATCTGTTTTGATATTGTTACATTATAGAATATCTCTTGGAAAATAATTTGAAAGATAAAGTAGTGTCTTTTCTGATCCTGTGATTTTATGTTCTTGCTTTGTTTTCATATGTTTTATATTGCCCAAATAGGAAGTATAAATAAAAGCGATCTGTAACTTTTAGGCATAGTGGAATGCCTGAATGTTGAGTTACAGCTTTATATGTTATTTTATGGTGTGGATTAAGGGGAACTCCTTTCTCAAAGATAAGAAATCATTATTATGTTCTAGTAGACCTTGTTTCCCTTTGGCTTAGTCAGTCTACAGGATTGGAAAGAACCTTCTCAGGCCCCTTGGTGAGAGATGTTGGAGGATGGTGAGTGGTTATTCCAAGGTACTAGAGTATTCAGTTTCCCTTTCCTGGGGGTGTATTGCTGATCTCTGTTGAAGGAGCTGTTTGAAAGTCAGAGAGCCCTGAACTTTAAACTTTTAGACCTGTGTACTAGAACATGCCAGGGTGGGGAAGAGGGTTCAGTTTGTTTTGCCATCACACCGCAATTACAGGGGACTCAGCTGGCTGACCCTTCTGTTGCCAGACCACGACACAAATGACCTGCTTAGAGGTGACCTGGGAAATGGGGGGTGGGGTTAGGATGGATAAGAAAGGTGAGGAGTAGAGAAAATGTGACATTTAGGTGAAAGAAGGAAGTCGATGTGGGTGGAAAGGAGATGTTCAGGTACAGATTGTAGTTCCATGTAGATGCGGAAAATCTAATTCAGTCCTCAGTGTCTGATTGGGTTGTTACAGGGCCTTTTCAGTTTGTCAGAAAAGGGCAAGGATTGGTTGGCCAGGTCCTTGGGGAATAGGGTTCTGCTGGGCCTGTGCTTTATTTTGTGATTGCTAGTTAGCAAAGTTACCTGTTGTGGTGAGGCTCTGCCTTTTCCCCTAACTGGGAGCACCACTATAATATACCTTAAAATCATATTTCTTGCATGATATGCCAAAGATCAAATTCTGCTTATGAAAGATGTACTGCTTTATGTGTGAACATGAGTTTTTCAAGTACATGGGTCATCTTTATTTTACTCTACACTATATGTAGAAAGTACAGATTATTCAAACCTAATGATAGATTTCATGAGGGAAAAATACGGAAGATGTTTTTCTGCTCTGTACATAGGAGATACAACCTAGTTTAGAGATAGTGTATGTACAGAGCACAGGACAGTGCCTGCCTGGCAGTAAATAGTAAGTGGTTGTATTGCGTTGGTGAAAGTAAGAAGTCTCTTTTGAGTTGCTTCCTGGCTGAAAGAATCCCTCTGTTGGCAAATTCCTGTGAATCTGTGATTTTCAAGTTGTGGTTCATGATCTTCCTCTAGAAAGGTCTTCAGTTGGTTTTTGGGTGACACTGTATGAAGTGATGTAATTATTTACTATTTATTTTAAATATAAAAATGCGGCTTTGCTACTAATTTTTTAATTAAAAAAAAAACTTATTTTCCCCTCTCTCTTCCTCCGATTCAGCTGATAGGGAAGTTGTTGGTTCTTTGCCATTTCTGCTTAACTTAGGAAAAAAATTGGGAATTATGAGAACAGAGGACCCCACATCTTTTAAGTTCACTGTCATATCCACAGTACCTAGCAGAGTGCAGTCACAATATTTACTTACTGGTTACCTTGGAACCCTGAGCTTATTTTAGGGATTGGATTTTCCATGGATATTAGCATCTTAGTACTAGTGTGTTCAGAAGATTAAAAGTTAGAGGTAGTTTCAAAATAAATTTTATTTCACACTTTTTTGTTGATGATCATTTTTATTCAGATGAGAAGTCTTTCCCAAATAGTGTCATTTTATGAGAAAGAGTAGCATTGAAGAGCTTGAACTCTAGAGACAGGATCTACGTTTGAATCTAGGTTCTAGCATTTAGTAGCTATAGCTCTGTGGTCTTTTTTTTTTTTTCTTTTTCTTTCTTTCTTTCTTTTTTTTCTTTTTTCTTTTTCTTTTTTTTTTGAGGCAGAGTCTTGCTCTGTCACCCAGGCTGGAGTGCAGTGGTATGATCTCCAACTCTTGGGCTCATTCAATCCTCCCACTTCAGCCTCCCAAGTAGCTGGGATTACACGGGTGTGTCACCACACCAGGCTAAATTTTTAATGTATTTTTTGTAGGGACGGGAGTCTCGCTGTGTTGCTCAGGCTGGCCTTGAACTCATGGTTGCAAGCGATCCTCCTGCCTTGGTCTCTCAAAGTGTTGGAATTACAGGCATGAGCCACTGTGCCTAGCCTCTGCGATCCTGATGTATAATTTAACAGCTCGGCCGGGCGCGGTGGCTCAAGCCTGTAATCCCAGCACTTTGGGAGGCCGAGACGGGCGGATCACAAGGTCAGGAGATTGAGACCATCCTGGCTAACACGGTGAAACCCCGTCTCTACTAAAAAAAATACAAAAAAAAACTAGCCGGGCGAGGTGGCGGGCGCCTGTAGTCCCAGCTACTGGGGAGGCTGAGGCAGGAGAATGGTGTAAACCCGGGAGGCGGAGCTTGCAGTGAGCTGAGATCCGGCCACTGCACTCCAGCCTGGGCGACAGAGCGAGACTCCGTCTCAAAAACAAACAAACAAACAAAAAACAGCTCAAGCCTCAATTTCTTCTTTCGTAGAAGGAAGATGATAATGGTACGCTGTTCACAAAGTTCTCATGAGGACTAAATGTGATAAAGCATTTATTCGGCACATAGTAAGCTCTCATAAACTGATGCTGTCACTAATAGACTTTATGTCAGTTAAAGTCTGCAATGATATTTTCCAAGTCTGTTTGGTACAAACTTTGGAAAAATGAGGTATATATTAACCTTGGAGGCAGTGCTGTTGTCAAACTAGAAATACTCAGATGCCGTAATTAAATACTTTTTGTAGTGACTTAGGAAAGTGCTTGCACATAGGTGCTCAGTTGTTATATGAAATGTACTATTAATAATTGCTGTAATGCAGTAATTATAGAATTAATAAGCTGATATAGAAATATGATTTGAAAAATCTCATTTGTGATATTACAGAATAGTGATATATAATACAGAAAACATTTAAGTGGGTATTTAAACAGTAGTAGAAATTAATTTCTGTCTCAGAGTTAAAGGAAAGATTACAGTTACATCTTACATGCATTTTTGCTTTTCTTTGGCAAGAGTTTGTTTCTTAAAAAATTGTCATGCTCTTATCACAGCCTGTTCTCTTGATATGTCTATATCACTCTTGTTATATTTGCAAGTCTGTAGTTGGACTATATCTGCAGTGACAGATTTAGATTATTTTGATTAAATTGACTAGTGAGTTCAATAAAACATCTATTTTGAGATCTTCATTGAATTTATTCTGCTGCTTTTATGGGTTGATACATCTGTAAATGTGAATTTTAAATCATATTTATTCTAAATTAACTTTGTTCAGAGTAGACATGGTGATTTTATTTTTGGACACTCAATATGATACTGTTCGAGGTGTAGTTTTTGGTTTCAGACTCTAAATTTTTGTTAGGTTGAAAAATTGATTCCACTGTATTCCAGTTTGAACTTTTATCTTACGGGCTCTTGTAAGTTTGTTTTCCACATGAGAATGAAATAGTACTTTTATAGATAATCTTTTGTAATTACTGTATTTTATTCATTCTAAATGCACTTTTTAAAACTTTTTAATGTTTCTGAAATTGGGACACATCTTAAAATTTATGTGCACTATTATTGATGGTGTGTCTTAAAATCAATGATCTTTTAGAATCATATGTATGTAGTATATACCACCATCCAGAATGAAACTCTAGACTTCTTATTTGCGATGGCAATGTGTTTTCTAAAGATTGCTTTGACATTTAAAAAATTTTAATTATTAGTTGCATGACACTTTCTTGAGAATAAGGTCATTTTGGAAGGTTTTTGCTAGGTGATTCAATTGATTAGAATAGAGGGTTTTTAGGTTGACTGAGGATTGTAGTCTGTAAGGGAATATAGAAAGTTATCTAGATGAGATTAAGGGTTTTTAAAAAATTCCTGCTAAGAAATTACTTTGCAAATCTACATATCCACACATTCATGTTCTACTTGGCTCTGAGTAAATTTTTGAATTTTCTTTAACCCAAGAAATGTATGTGTGTGTTTTAAACATGTTAGTACATATACACTGCTTCATTTTTCTGAACCCCTTTTCCAATATATTGATGTTAAAATGAGAGTTTCATATCCTCTCTTTTCTGTATAATTTTGGTACCATATTCTTCATTTAAGTCTGAATGAATCATGATTGTTATGATTCCCCTCCCCTGCTATTTTTTTAAAGCAAATAACAATCCCACACAGTACTCTTATTGTACTCTTATCATTCGTTCCTGGAACAGTTAAGGTATAAGGTAGAATAATATACATTGAAATTTAATTTGTCTATTGCTTGTGACTTGTCTCAGTAACAATAGGCAGTTGCTGACTTCTGTATCATACTAACCTAAGAGGTGACACTGCCTTATGGAAACTGGAAATTTAGGCAATTGTCCAGGTGATTTTTGTGTAAAATAATTTTGTCTTAAAAGTTCTGATGAAGGAAGTCTTTTTGTTTGACTTAGCAAGATAATAGTTCTCCATCTTTCACCTTACCAGTATAAAATAATTAGCCTTAGTTTTCCTTGTCTTTTAAATGGGAACTGATAAAACAGATCCTTAGAGAATTCTGTAAGATTTACCGGATCACTTTTAATGGTAAAAGATCATCATGGGAAAGGTACATTGTAAGTGTGAATTATTGATACTTTTCATTTTTCCTCACCCTAAGAGACAGTGCCTGAAATAGGTACCTTCCTTATCCCCACTTGTCAAGGCTGAGAAACTTAATACATACCATGATCACAACTTTTGAGATAGAATTGAATTGCTGTCATTGAAAACAGCAGGACATCTTACAACCGTTTAAATAGCAATTCTTAGTATAATCTTTTCTGTCAAGAGAAATATAACCATTTTAGGTAACAGTGGCTCAAAATGTATTATAATATTATTGACTCACTGCTCAGACTTGTTGAATTCATCAGTAAATTGCTTTTTATATTGAATAATATAGACTTAGAATTATAGGGATCTGGAGTTCAACTTTTGTGTAGTACTATATGACAGCAAATTATGATGTATCAATTTTTTTTTCTCTTAGAGACAGGGTCTTACTCTTGCCCAGGCTGGAGTATGTGGTATGATCATAGATCACTGTGGCCTCAAATTCCTGGGCTCAAGTGATCCTCCTGCCTTGGCCTCCTGAGTAACTGGGACTATAAGCACACACCACTGTGACCAACAGTTTCCCAAATTTTTTGTAGAGAAGGAGTCTCACTGTGTTGTGCAGGTTGGTCTCCAATTTCTGGCCTCAAGTGATCCTCCTCCATCTGCCTCCCAAAGCCTAGGGATTACAGGCATAGCCACCAATACTGAGCCTGGCCCAGGATTTATGAGTTTTTGTTTTGTTTTTTTAAATCTAAAGGGCAGTATAAATATAAAGCAAGATGTGTTGTTTGAAAATTGCAAAGAAGTTTTTTTACGTTAAAAATAGTTTTTTTTTTTTTTTTTGACAGCTTAAGCATGCTTTTTATAATGACTATTCCTCTGGTTCTCTTAGTTTAAAAACAATTTTTAAAAGTTCATGTTTCTGATAATAAACAGTACATAGATTTTTTTTAAATGGAAAGTAACAGTTTTTTTAATCCACCCCCTGCCCCTAATTCTCCCAGTTCCATTCCCTTGAAGCAGACTGTTTAGCTGTCTTTGGTCTTATTCCTTCTGTTGGTTTTCTGTACAACTCTAAATAATACACTTATTTCTCGTGGAATTGTTAATTGAAGTAATATCTTTTGATTGCCTGCTCTGAAATATGAGGATTTAGTTTACTTACCTATTCTTCCTTTCTTTTCCTTCCTCCCAGTTAATGATAGTTAAAAATTTTTAAAAAGATTATTTGTTGCCTTTATACTCTAAACATATATATTTAAGCTTCTATTTCTTTTTCCTACAAATAACATGTTTTTTATTCTCTACTTTGTAAATTGGGGATAGTATCTTCTCCATCCACTTTTAACTGTTTTATATTAGCTACACTTAATTTTATATCTTCAAGGTTAATAACATTTACTTTGTACAGTGCAACCAACAACCAATCTTCTATGCTTTGTCTGTAAGTAAAAGACCAATAAATTGTACATTTATTATAACTGTAAACATTAAATGCCAGACCAAACAGCATATTAGGATTAGATTAACTACAAGTCCAGTGTCATGATCTCCGGGCTTCTCAATGAGTGATAGCATTTAGGCAAAATAGATCAAATCTTTCTCTCCCCACCTCACTCCCAATGTCTGATACTTAATTAAAGTTATTTTACATTTTAGTTTGCTTCATATTTCATCTGTGACTTATGCAGTTTTTTTTTCCTTCTGGGATTTCTGATTACTTCCCCCTATGTCCCCTTTTGTAGTCTATTTTATCTGTATACACTCTTTAGCCCCCTTCTTGCCTGTCTCAGCCTGTTTGATTTACACCCATTTGTTTTGTCTTGCAGAAATATATTGAAATTTCTCACTCATTGGTGACCACCACCCTTCTCTTTGCTGTTTATTCCTTTTTTGCATTTTCTGCATTTCCCTTTCCCACCTTGTGGGGTCCTGAATGAGTGAGAGGTAAAAGTGTGTGTGCCTAGTTTGCCATCTTTAACCTGGACTTAGCCATTTAGTTTTGAAGCGTCTGTTGTATATTTTGTATGAAATCCATAAAATGTGTTCTCCTGTATCAAATCTTTGAGACTATTGTCATTGAAATATGGGCAATATGTACTTGTATGCATATAAATATATCACAGAACCCATATTAGAAGGAAGTTATAGTGTGTTGAAAGAGATCACGGAGTTTATTCTAGTTAACCTCTATTTTACAGGACAGAAAACTGAGGCACAGGGAGAGAAAGCAAGCATGTGTGAGCAGTGTTCTTGCCCAGGGACTCAATTTAATGGCCTAGCAGAATTACAATGCAATTTTCTTTGACTTTGAATTTCTTAGCCGTCCTCTGATTCATAATGCCTCACCAACCTTGAATCACACGGTTTAGAAAAGTGAAAATTGTACCAGTAGCATGCAGTTCCTTTGGGAAGTTGATACCAGTTCTGTTGGAGGGGTCCCATTTATTCTAGTAGTTTGTTGTCTTGAAAAGGAAGTAGAATGAAATTGCTTGAGTGTAAATATTTTTGCTCAGATTCTTTTGTTTTTTAAAGATACTTTAATCAGTTATTATCCATATACTGTCACAATAATTACCAGACAACAGGCATCCAGCTGTTAATAACCCCATATTTAAAAACCAAGGCAAAGGAGAAGAAACGGTTTTGAGAATATTTTTGTATTTGATTTAGCAAAGCCTACATTTAATAAGGTATGAATGATAGTTAAGGGATTGCTAAGTATAGTCTTAGAAAACAGTGGCGTGCTTTCAGCCTTTTTATACATACATAGGATGTTAGATGCAGTTAAAAATAAAAGTAGAATGTAACACATGAGGATAGGTAGAGCAGGCTTAAAAATTTTTTTTTGGCGTGAAGCTCATGAAATGACATTAATTGCTTATGTAATATTAGGATAGTTCTAGCAGATGAAATAGTGTTAAACGTCAAAGTCCCAACTTGCTCCAAATTAGAGGCTCCAGGAAGGAATACCATATGCGTCTTGATGGCAGTTTCAGGTGTTGGAATGAGATCCTGAATCTTTTCTTCACCATTTGATTCTGTCAAGTCAGGATGCTTGAATTTAACTTAATATCAGCTTTCCATCCTGTATGGGAGTGCTCTAATACAAAACAGAAGTTAGAATGACCCATGAATGGTGTGGCAGAAATTTCCAGCTTTAGAAATTTTAATTAGCGCTGTCAGTGGTTCAGTGAAGTCATAGTGTTCCTTCCACAGGTTGCATGTACTGATAGTGTCATCCTTTAGATGCATCCTCAAAACCCTGGCGGAAATTGCTACTTTATTGTTGGATGTGATGCTTTATACAGTATTAGTATTTCAAACTAATATACCAAAGGGAAGTATTATTAAAACATAACGTTTTAATGAAATAAATTGTTAAGAGTGAAGATATTTTTAACATAATGTTCTTTGTCTTTATTTTAAAGAATTCAGAAGGAACTTGCAGAAATTACATTGGACCCTCCTCCCAACTGTAGGTAAGTACTTACGGTTTTTTATTTACTTGTATCTTTTGCAGAAGGTACATTTGAACTGTTGGTTTTATATGCAACTGTTGTTGTAATGTGGTTAATTAGTAAACATATCATTGTTGTTTGAACTTAAGTGACGGTGGAAGACAGTGGTTTTTGTCATCTCTGTGCAGAAATGGAATGTTCAGCAAGTATGTTTGTAGTGGTAGAACGGAGTTGCCAAAAGTAGTGTAATGCGATAACAATAAGACAATGAAATTATGGGGTAACAAATACAATTACCTTTTAGTGGAAGAGGTGTTAGGGCCTTAAGTGGTTTTTTAATGATAGAATAATAGTGTGGCTAAAATATTTGCTATGTTGTAATTTTTGTTATCTTGTTGGAATTTGATTTTTAAAAGTGCAGACACATTAAATAGTGCTTCTTCATGGTTTACGTTATTATGGTCATTGGTTGTGACTAGGTAAGATTGGGTGATTTGAGGCAGTGATGTTAAGTGTAAAATTGTCTCTCACTTTATGATCATGACCCCGAATTTTCTGGTCAGTGGTTACTTTAGGAAAGAAAAGTGCTTACCTGGAAATGGTTAATGTTATACAGATACATGGAGAAAGAGGAGAAAAATAACCTCTTACCTTAAGCTGCTGCCTTGGGTCTGAAGCAGTGGTTAGAAGATCACTGTTTGATTATTTTTAAGACACTTATTTCTATTTTGAGATGAGGTCAGCATTGGAACCAGGCCAACCTGGAGTTTTTCTGGTTTAAAATGATAATCTTATGCATTGAAGGTAGAAGGGCAGATTAAATAAAAATCTTCCCCACATTGAATGCAGGTAGAATTTATTGCTTGGTATGATATCTGACTTCACTGATCTTATTTTTATGTAAAAACAAAGATAACAATGGTGAGAATTAATGAAAGTGAAAATTTTGCATATGGCTATATTGATAGTTGGCTAGTTGACAACTGTTTTGTGTAGGAAAAATTCTAATAGAACTTACTTAGTGGTGAATCTAATATGGTTCTTTAAATGAATCATATACAGTTTATAAACTTACAGTAATAATATTCAAAGAATGTTTCACTGAAATAGAACAAATATGTCTTTGTTAGGTAAAACTGTTTAACGTAAGACTTTTTGTCACTCTTACGACCGTATGACATCAAAGCTGTTTCAGATGGCAGATGATTGTTTAGCTTTTGGTGGTCAATGGTTATAAGTGGATTGATTTGTGGAAAAACTCTAGTTTGAATTAAACCTAACATCCTTTGTTTCTTAGGATATTTGCTTTAATGGTCTGAATCTTTAAAAAAATAAACCATGTTATTAATATATTACATGTATTGTTTTTGTAACCTTTTTTATGAACAATTGAACTGATAAATAAGTGAACTTAATTTATTCACTTCTTTGCTTAAATTTTGACAACCCCGATCATTGGTAAAATGAGCAACTTTGTTTTAATAAGTTTGTTTAAGACTCATTTTTAATAAATGAAATCCATGTACAGTATCACGTGATGTAGACTGCAATTTTGCTATTAGATGACTGAGAAAAGGAACTATATAAAGACTATTGTTTAAGTAAACTAAAATAATTGAACCATAGTTCTGTTAAAGGTAAAAAACGTTTAAGTATAGTGTCATCTGAAATTTGGAGGTTTACTTTGTCTTTGAGCCTTAGTTAATGATACCATTACGAGTTCATATGTAAGCTCTTCATAAATAGAGCAAAATGTTTATTACAGGTTTTAATTTTTAAAAATTAGAAGTAACTAAAGATACCTACTTTAGTTAATTTTCTGACTTGGGAATTTGCAGGGAAATTCTCACTTGTGGGCTGAGGATTGGATAGCTGATAAGTTTGCTTTAGAAGCTAGGTCTGCAGTACAGTGGCTTTGGTTCCTTTTATTGATTCTAAAACAGTTGCTTGGACTGGGTCAGGCAGAGAGAAAGGTTATTTACCTTCATGTGGCACTCCCTTTGGCAAGCAAAGGATCCTCTGTGCTGTAGCTGATTGATAAGTGTTGATTAACTAGTTTTACATTTTCTGTGTGCTTGTGTTACTTAATATGGATGTTTGGTGTGCCTATTAAGTGCATCACTGTGGCCTTTGGATTGTTTGGTGTCAAATATTTGATTGTGGTTTGTAGTTAATCTGCCCATCTGTGTTTCAATGAAAATGTGGTTACCATCTTCAGAAAGAGGTTAGATCATAGTGTTAGTTTGGCTTATTTTTGGTTAAAGTTAACAGTGCTTTTGTGGTTGATTTTTACAAGTTCTGCACTGCCTGCATTGGCCTAATGACTGTAATGGATTAATTTATCAAAATAGTGCAAATTAAAGTTACCTGCCTAACAGAAGTCAGAGTCCTTTACTTAATCAGTTAAGTCATATCTCATTTCAGAAGAAAGCATCCCCTTACTCTACTCCCTTTGTGGATTACCTCTCCTATCACACAAGCCTCGCAAAACCCTGCCTTTTGGTTCCCTGGGTAGTTGTCTGCTATCACATGTAAAGATTATATGTGAGGGAACATCTGTGGGTTTTACCTGTTTAGTCAGAGTGGAGAATGATTTTTTCTAGTGGTTGTCTGGGTAGGGGTGGATGGGTGTCACATTCCATTTAGAGTGTGGTTTATCCTATTTTCAGGAACCTTAACAGACTGGATACAACCCAATACTGTGTGTATGTCAGGTTAGATGGAACCTCTGAATGTTGGTACATCTCTTACGTGATATCTAGTTAAGCTTCTTTTGGAATCATGTTAAAGGAACTGAATGTGTTTAAGCGTTGTGCAAATCTGTTAAAGAAGTTGAGAATATGAAGTCACCCCAAATCACAGCATTCAGTGTAGATAAAGTTTATGTAAGGCATTTTTTAGAGAAAGTTATTCTAATATAGTATTGGTTAATTTTTTTTTCAGGTTTTGAAAAAACAAATATTATTTTAAAGAACATGCACAAATGATTTAATAGATTGAATTATTTCATATAGGAAATATTTGCCTCTACATATTTCAGTTTTTTTCTCACTTTATTGTTGTCTTTGAAGTAAAAATGCAGTAAGATAGTTTTATTTTTGAAGTTGGGTTAAATATGTCATTCTTTTTAAAAACGTTACAGTTTAATGGGTAAATATTTAAAAAAAATTTATAGCTAAGAAAAAATTTCTGCTTATAAAAATCATACAGTCTGTAGGGCCATAGGCATAGAAAATTGCACATCATTTGAGTGAAATTTGGTCTATGCTTAGAGTATTTTCTGTAAGTAGTGGAATGTATTTTTCTTGGCCTTAACTTTCATGTTGGATAACATAACTGACCCATGACATTTGCAAGGGCTCTGTCCTGAGGCTTTCACAGATCCATTGATCCGTAAATGTTTTCATACTACTGCTGAGTTAGAGGTGCTGGGTGGTTGGTTAGAATTGCTTGCTACCTTGGTGCCTTGCATAACAGCTTAGATGGATAGAGTGGGTCAAATTGTTGCTCTGTCCTTGCAGACCTCTAATGGATAGATTCACTGCCCCTTGTAAATGACTATAGGTTGTGACTTTCACAGTTTTTCACAAATTGTTAAAAGCAACATCTTAGATCTGTGCATGTCAGTGTGTTCATTTATACTTCCTCGGTGCTAGTGGAGAACTGGCAGCTAGTGGGCCAGAAAATCTCCAGATTAAAATTAAAATTAAAATTGTCGTCATCCAAAGGGTAACTTGTTCCCCCGTATCACAGAGAAGCTAACTTGTTCAAATGCTATTATGATCTGCTACTGCTAAAGTTTGTATTAGGTTTATGAGCAGGGGAATGACAGAGAATCCTCATTACTTTTTGGAAGAAAAGACTAAGGTAGAATGAAATGATTTATTTGGAATTTGATTTTTGGTCTAGTAATTGAACAAGTAAAAGGAGGAAGTAAACCAAAAAGGAGAATGTGGTTATACTGGCAGTTTACACTTTATTTCTGTGTGTTTCAAGGATCTGCTTGTGGAACACTGGCGCTGCTTTTTATTTGATAACAGCTTTATTGAAGACATAAAGTGTAAAAATTCACTTATACTTTTAGGTTTTTAGTATACTCACAGAGTTTTGTAATCATCACAGTCAATTTTGCAATATTTTGAAAACTCCCCAAAAATAATCCATGCCTTTTAGCAGTCACTGCTTCCCCATTTTCCCCCAACTCCTTCACCATCAGCCTTCGGTAGCAATTAGTCTACTTTCTGTTTCTGTGGATTTGCCTTATCTAGACATTTTGTATAAATGAAATCATATGTGCTTTTTGTGTCTGGCTTTTTTTATTTTTTATTTTATTTTTTACAAAGTTTAATATTTTCAAGGTTCATCCATGTTGCTGCATGCATTAGTACTTCTTTTTTTTTTCCTAAGACGGAGTTTCGCTCTTGTCGCCCAGGCTTGAGTGCAATGGCACAATCTCGTTTCACTGCAACCTCCGCCTCCTGGGTTCAAGCGATTATCCTGCCTCAGCTTCCTAAGTAGCTGGGATTACCACCACACCCGGCTAATTTTTTTATTTTTAGTAGAGACGGGGTTTCACCACGTTGGCCAGGCTGGTCTCGAACTTGATTACCCTAGTACTTCTTTTTTAAAAATATTTTTAATTGAGGTAAAATATACCTACGTGATTTACCATCTTTACCATTTTTAGTGTAAAGTTCAGTGAATATACATTTATATATTTATATTATTTTTTTCCCCTTCATCCCCCCACTCCCCTTCCTGGCCTCTGGTAATTACCAGTTTATTCTCTATTTTTGAGATCTACATTTTTAACTCTCATGTAAGAGTGAGAACATGTGACATTTGTCATTCTCTGCTTGGCTTGTTTCACTTAGCCTTTGTGGTTTCATACATATTGCTGCACATGACAGGATTTCATTCTTTTTTATGGTTGAATTAAATATTCCATTGTGTGTATATACCACAGTTTCTTCATTCATCTGTTAATGGGCACTTAGGTTGGTTCCATATTTTGGCTATTG